CTCAGTTTAAACTTTTGATCTGTGATTTGTGTTCGATTCTGAATAAAATATTAGATGTTGGCACCTCCACATCATTGCATTCAGTTTTTATTCACAACTTGTTTAGTGTCTCAACTTTTTTGGAATCCGGTTTGTATAAAACCAAAAGAAGACAATAATTATCAGTTTCTCATCCAGTTTGGGATTCTAGATGAAACAAAAAGTGATGGTGTTACTCATAATGTCCAGCTTTAGTTGATGTTGCTCCTTCCCATGTTCATATTTGAATAAAACTAATGGTTTATGTGACCCAGTTGTCATTTACAATGAAATAAAACACAACAGGATGACAAACTGAACTTCAACTTGTTTACATTTACTTTTGAATATATCTGTTGAACCGATTAAAGATCATATAAGACTCAATGACAAAAACAGTAGCTTGTATCCCTCATATGTAAACCACTAGACATGACAAATTGTTCCCATGCTTTTATCCCAAGGCAGCATTTTATTTTATATATTACCTTAAATTTTAAGTTTTAAATTTTATCCTGCATCATGAAGGACCCCACTCACCCAGCACACACACTTTTTGCTCTGCTCCCCTCAGGCAGAAGGTTGCAGAGCATTAAGTGTAGAACCACTATACTGAGGAATAGCTTCTACCCTGAAGCTGTTATAGACTCATAAATCCCTAATCAGGATAATCACTAAGAAAAAAAAAAAATCATCGTAATGCCATTTTAATTGTTGATATGCGATTTATCTGTGCTGCTTATTATCCATGCTGCTGATCTCATGCTGCTGATTATCTCATGCTGCTGTATTCATTCATACCCATCTGCTCACCACAGACTCATGTTCGGGCTGCTGTTGTTACGCCGTATTGTTTTACAATATTAATGTTTAGCATATATCTTAGATCTTTTACCGTACCGTTTGGCGTTTGTTTAGCGTATATCTTAGTGTATAATATCTTAGATCCTTATTTACTGTTACTTTTTATACTTAATATTTTGCTATTTTGGGTGTAACTGGGACCCTGTGTACATAATTTTGTTCCACCTCATGTACCACATGTGATGGAAACGATAAAGTTGGCTTGAACTTGAATTTAAGTGTAAATTGTGAATCACAGTAGACCCAGAAGTATGACTGAACTGCTAGAGCTAAACAACATAAATGCAATGTTCTTCCACAGAATTCCAGACATGTGTTGTTCAACTGATAAAATCTGACTTGAAGGATTAGCAACAATAAATCTAAATAACA